CCGGTTATTATGTACTGACGTCATTTATCTCCTATGTGCCATGTCGCAGTAGTATACTATGACAAAGGAGGCAAGGGCGAGTAAATGAAACACTCCGACTACTTTAAAGGTAGATAATTATGCACAATTCAAGTGCTTGTGAGTTTACTGGAAAGTCTTTCGTTGACACTGAAGAAGGCACGGCACAAGAGCCGCTATTTCACTACGAGGGAGAAATGCTATAAAAATGCATCCCTGCCTCTCTCTCTCGCACACACTTTAGACATTTGACCCATTGGACTGTTTGTGAGGTAACTTTTCCTCTCCTCTCGGCTGTTACAGTGATACTTGTGGTTCCAGACACGAGCGTGCCTGAGGTGCGAGTTTTCTTTACTGTGTCTATTATGGATTACCTGTAATAACCGCGTATTATGCTATTTTTTTTTAACTTTGCAAGTACATGTCAGCTTACACTGACCCCAACCTAACAGTCTACTTATAATTAGTGATGGGTACCAAAACTCTGTACTCTGGTGTTAACGGTTCTGCTATCGGTACTGGAGTATTATTGCTGAATAAACATGTTTATTACAAGGCAGTTTATAACAAGGCTTTTGAAGCATAATACACAACACCAACCCAGATAATATGTTATTTTAAACTATTAAAAGTGTTAAATAAAAATCTCTTTTTTAGCATTTCAAGGTTAAAAGTATGTTGTAAGAAATATCAAGGTCCCATAATGCAATTCAAAAGCAGAAATAAAAGTGGAAAAATAAAAACATGAACCACAAAATACAAAAAACAGCTAATTTACAGATATTTTTACAGTGTAGTTTACATTTCACTATCGTCTTCAGTACACAATATTTCCTGCTTCAGCAGGGTGTTTTCACACCTCTGGTTTGGTAAAAGTCAGGAAGGGGGGTAGGGATGTCAAAATTAATTGTTTCTTCTGTGCACCGCGATGTTATTATGTACTGACGTCATTTATCTCCGATGTTCTCTGTCGCAAGGGAGGTGAGCGCCGGTATTTACAACACTCAGCCAACTCAGGGCCGGCCTGTGGCATAGGCACCATAGGCAAATGCTAAGGGTGCTGTATATCCAGTGGGGCGCCAGAAATAAGCGTGCTTCAGTTGGTTTTGTTTTCGATATTCCTGACACACATTCAGTTACAGACGGCAATAACTCAAAAACCTCTTACCCTAAAAATATCTAAAGTGTGTTTCCTACAAAAAGACAAAGCTGGTTATGTTTCACAGCTGTCTTTCTTTTTTTTCCGCTCGACATTACGACCATACGCTCCGTTTAAGCCCTCGCAGTCTGCGTTTACTTTAGCCGGCAGAGCTCGCGGTGAGAGTAACTCTCAGTAAGGGACCGTAGGAAAAGTGCTTATTTTTTTCGTTTTTTTTTTTTTCGTTTTTCTGCTCCGCTCAGCGCGAGCTCTCCCTGTTGCAAGGGCTTAAGTGTGTGTGTGTGTGTGTGTGTGTGTGTGCATGCGTGCGTGTTTTTGTTTGTTTGATGCTGTCTGTGTTTGTGAATGTGTTTGAATGAGAGACAGTGTGGTGCTGTGTGTCTGTGTGTTTATACAGACAGCATGTTATAGCCTCCCCCGTAAAATATAACACTGTATATGGAAAGCATCGTCAATGCACCATGATGCACGAGATATCGAATTGAACCGAATCGATGGCATGATAATGGTAACCGAACCGAACCGTGAGACCAATATAGGTTCACACCTCTAAAGGTGGGTGTGTCCAGCTCTGTTTAGGGGGGAGTGTCGGAGGAGGGAAAGAGAAAAGGTGCATAAAAATCTGCATAAAAATAGGAGTTTCTGTTTGGGCACGCACTGATTTTCACAGAGACAAAACAACACACAGACGTAGGGCAGAAAGACAGTGACTGTGTTTACATGGACATCAGTAATCAAATTATTTGACAAATTATTAAATGGTGGACTTTAACTGCAGTTTGGCTCTTTCATTCAGGAATTTAATTTATGCCCCTCATGATAAGATATTTGATTCGAGGAACTGCTTTAAGCGTGTATTTTTAATGCAATGTTTGATAACGCATGGCAAATGAGAGAAAAAAAACCCTCCGCATTTCTTTGTAACATAAATGCACTCGGTAGATAACGTAGCGCCAGAAAGCAGTGTGTGTTATTCCAGTCAAAAAATGAGGCGAAAGTCCTATATGGCGGTAATAGTTTTAATTGCGGTTTACATGTTTACACTCGAAGAGCAGCATTTACAGTGGATCTTTTAGTCACATAATATTGTAGTGATATTAACGTACTGTAAATTTTAGTAACTTAGAAATCATTTGACTAAGGTCAAACACTTAAACACTGAAAGAGTACTGCTGACGATACAAACTAACTTTGCCTCTGAATAAACAAACAAAGACACTGATCGCTTACTTACCAAATCTGTAGAGATAGGACTATCAACACCAACGAGAACTGCATCTTTTTTTAAAAGGAGAGCTGCAAATCCAGATTTCACCATTTCCAGATGTGAAAAGCTCTCGGGTAAAAATGTTCCTCAGACATGTATTTTTGTCAAGCGTCGCGTCCACTGCAATCCACACAAGAGTCCAGCTGCCCTCTCATAGCGGGAAAATGAAAACTAAAACCTTACTTGCAGCAAATAATAAAAACAACACTGACGACTCATATCTCCAAACAAATTTTCTTCTCCCACTTGTTTTGGCAACACAACGTGGCGTCTCTCTGCCGTCTGAACACTGTACAGGTAAAAACAGTCTTCGAAGCTATCATGCATATTAATGAAGTTGCATGCATGCACAATTGAAGGCACTGATTGGTTTGAACCAAGTCTTCCTCATGAATAAATGCAGCACACACAGAGACATCACAAAGTACTCCAAGGTACAGACATCCAGTCTACACGCTGGAATACATGCAAATACCTAATCGGCGTGACGCTGCTTCAAAAATTAGTCTCAAACCGGAAGAACGAATTTGCTCGAAATAAAGCAAAAACAACCAATTTTCACTTTTTTTGTGTAATATATGTGTCCTAATAGTATTTTAGCACTGTCGGGCAAATACATGACTGTCAACAGCTCAAAAAAAGTGTGTTTTGGTGTTTCGTGACCCTTCAAAAACCTCTCAATGACACTCAGCATCTGAATAAACTCACCAGCTTAAAGGTCAACACTTTGTAGGTAACTGGGTCTTCTACAATCTTCTGAAGGTTAGCAGCCACTGAAACACATGTAGAAGAAGAACGTGACATTAGCACTGTGCACTGGAGTAAAACAAACCAGCTCTCCATGTTCATCACGCTCCTGGATTTGGCTCGAAGCTGCTCTTTCCAACCTAAATTACTCTGAGGGCCGCGAGCCAAACTCTGCGTAAGTGTGGATTTGAAGTATATGCATTAGTGAAATCATTACTGATGCATGGACAGATCTTCTTCTTCTTCTTTTTACACTTATATCGAAGCATCCTGCTCTGCATGTTTAGTGGACTAATGACCCCTGAGATTGTTTCCTTTGGCAATTTTCTCCTCGCAGATCAGACCGCTTTCTGATCCATTTAAAGAGCAGAAACATCTTGAGCTGCTCAGAGGTTATTTAAATATTCAAATGAGGGATGTTAATAATTCACCGGATAACCAGAGGATTATTATGAAAGCACATTTCCGCTTTATATAAAGAAAGACAAAAAAGCAAGTCTAAAAATCTAAATTATGACAACCCTTAATCATAACTATGATTTAAAAGGTTTAAATTATGACTTACTAACTTAACATTGTCATTTACTATATTGAAATTATGACTCATTGGGGTGGGTGTGAATTTGTCAAGTATGATGTGATCCTGCATTTACATCTATGTTGATTCTGGAACATAATTTTTGTTTCCTTATTTTTCAGGATTCCCACAGCAGAATGAACCACCAACTATTACAGCCACAACCCAGTACTTGGAAACACCCATACACTCTCGCACTTACACACGCAAGCACACGCACGCACGCACACACACACAAACAAACAAACAAAACAGCCAATTTAGCTTATTCAGTTCACCTATAGTGCATGTCTTTGAACTAGGGGAAACCAGAGCACCCATAGGAAACCCACTTCAACACAGGGACAACATGCAAACTCTACGAATAAAATTCAACTTGCCAAGCAAGGACTCGGACCAGCGTCTTTCTTACATAAGCTTTAAACATAACCCTTGCTTCTGATTGGCTGAATGGAATGTTGTTTCAAGGATTAAAATCTAGGTCCTACTTGGTGAAATCACAGTCATTGGAATATATATATTTATTCATGTACATACATACATGTCTAGATTTTTAATTCTTTAATTAGGTCAGTAAGGTCTGACTTTGCTTAGACAAAAGTCTTGTCACTTAACAAAAATAATGTCCAGTATAGAATATGAAGTCATGCTGCAGTGGAAACAGAATGAATATTGTGTATGACTCCCATGATCTTTGAGGACTGCATCCATCCATCTCTGCAATGACTCAAATTACTTAGTAATAAAGTCATCTGGAATGGCAAAGAAAGCATTCTTGCAGGACTCCCAGAGTTCATCATGATCCTTTGGATTCATCTTCAATGCCTCCTCCATCTTACCCCAGAGATGCTCAATAATGTTCATGTTTGGTGACTGGGTTGGCCAATCCTGACCTTGACCAACTTGGCCTTCTTTGCTTTCAGGAACTTTGATGTGGAGGCTGAAGTATGAGAAGGGCTATCCTGCTGTAGAATTCACCCTCTCCTGTGGTTTGTAATGTAATGGGCAGCTCAAATGTCTTGATACCTCAGGCTGTTGATGTTGCCATCCACTCTGCAGATCTCTCACACGCCCTCATACTAAATGTTACCCCATACTATGATTTTTCCTTCACCAAACTTGACTAATTTCCTTGAGAAATCATTTGGGTCTGTCTTGGGTTCATGTAGGTTCCAATAGATCTTCTGCAGTATTTGTGCAGCTTAACATAGTTCTAGAATGTTCCAGATTTCAGAGTTGAAGTTCAGTTTAGTTTAATTCAGTGTGGTTTAAATTTCACTGCTGAAAGGATAACAGATGATTCATCAGAGAAATCTACCTTCTGCCACTTTTCCCAATGATCAACTAGAAGTCAAGTTATTATTTGTTGCTCTTAACTGAGAATAATGACAAGACTTTTGTCAAGTAGTGTATATTTTTTGGTCTTGTTTCATCTCTGAAGCAAAATAATCTGCCAATGGGGTAAGTAAAATAATATGATCTCAAACCAAGATTATTTTACTTACCCCTGTGCCAGATTATTAAGCTTTTATAACGAAGAAACCCTCTTAGATTTGATTTATTATTTCAGAAGATGAAACAATATGTTCTTATTGTCTAGAAAATGCTTCTTGATTAAGGAATTATTCAATATTTGGACTATAAATAAGACAAAAACTGTAAATAAGTAAGAATATAGCAGCGTATTTATCTGATAAAAGTAACTCATGTGTTGCACGTGTGCTGAATTAAAAAGATGACTTAATGCAAACTCATTGGATAAAAAAAACAACATATGATAATCAACTGTCAATACATTGATTTTAGGAAGTACTCTTAAGAGGGTTTTATAAAATTAAGCCCAATTGCCTTTGGATGAAAATGACTGCCAAATGCATAAATGTAGAATTAAAGTTGCTTCATATAACCAATGTTTGGCAAATGCATAAATGGAAATACTTGAATAATTTAAAGCATCTTGTACCTAAAACATTAAAGCAAAGCTCTCAAAAAATTAGAGGTCAACCTTAAATGCAATGTAAGATGTTTTGGAAAAAAATAAAAATGTAGTATGTACAGTAAGGACTGAAAATGGTTAAATATTTAAATCCCCACAGTCACTTTGGATAAAAGTGTCTGCCAAATGCATAAATGTAGTAATGATAATAGTAATGATTCATATATTCATAAAAGATTGAAGTTAATATAAAATGCAAACATGATGAATTGTTTTAAAGAATAAAAATACTGAACTAGCTAAAAAGATTTGGATGTTTAATAAAAGCAGCAAGGTCGTGGGTTTGATTTGCATGGAACAAATGAATTGATCAAATGTCAATTTAAGATGCTTGAAATAAAACTGCCTGCTAAACGCATACAAACAGATGTAGGATTTAGAGACTAAGGTGTTTAAATAACTAATGTTGCAGGTGGCACGGTGGCTCAGTGCTTGGCACTGTCGCCTCACAGCAAGAAGTTTGCTGGTTCGAGTCCCGGCTAGGACAGTTGGCATTTCTATGTGGTGTTTGCATGTTCTCTCTTTGTTGGCGTGGGTTTCCTCTGGGTGCTCTGGTTTCCCCCACAGTCCCAACACATGCACTATAGGTGAGATGAATAAACTAAATTGCCTGTAGTGTATGAGTGTGAATTAAGAGTGTATGGGTGTTTCCCAGTAATGGTTTGCAGCTAGAAAGGATCACATATGCTAAAAACACGTGCTGAAATAGTTAGCGGTAGGTATGGGACGATAACCGTTTTCAAGGTTTACCGCGGTAAGTAAAAGTAAGTTGCCTTGGATAAAATCGTCTGCTAAATGACTAAATGTAAATGTAAAACCGGTAAATTTTTCTAAGGTATGTGTAAGATTTTTTTATTTACATTTTTTTGTTGTTGTTTTTTTGGACAACAGTATAACCTGTAGAAAAAAAATATCCAAAGATGCCATTTAAAATTGTAAAGAAATCTGTGTTCTTCAAACAAATGAAAACAGCAAAAGTAATTTAATCTTTATTTAATTATCTTTATTTAATTATTATTTTTATAATTTAACCTGAGATGTTTACTGTTCATGTTATAAATCTTTGAAGAAATAAAATATATTGCTTTCAAAGGGGAACAAAGGTTTTGTTTTTTACCCAGAAAATTTAAATATTATTTTTTAGAGCAGTAATCACAATATCGTGAAACCGTGATATTTTTATCCAAGGTTATCTTACTGTCAGAATCTTATACCGGCCCATGCCTAGTTGGCGGTTCATCCCACTGTGGCGACCCCTGATTAACCCTTCTTTTTTATATCACGACTCTAATCAGCGTTTAGGCTCGATAGTCAGGTTCGCTCCTGCTAGTGTGGTCAATCTGGCAACCTGCTCTTGCGTGTGTTTTAAACCAGGTGTGCAATACCTAGTTCAACTACTGGGTATCAAACTATCCTGCACCTTTAATATGAACTTTTAGTAGCCTGTGTATATCATGGAATGAATATCAAAGTTTTACTTATTCAAACTTAATAAAAAAGATATTATATACAGTTAAAGTCAAAGTTATTCCCATGTATTTCTTTTTCTTTTTTTAAATATTTCCCATGCTTAACAGAGCAAGACATTTTTTCTGTTTTTTTTAAGGTCAATATTATTTGCTATTTTCCCCCCCAATTGTCTTCCGAGCAAACAATTATGTTTAGAAATGTGTTTAAAATCTTCTTCCCGTTAAACAGACATTGAGGAAGAAAATATACAGGGGGCTAATAATTCGGAATTCAACTGTATGTACCAATGCACCTTTGACACCAACACAATGTGTGTGTGTATATATATATATATATATATATATATATATATATATATATATATATATATATATATATATATATATATATATGTTTTTTTTTTTTTTTTTTTTCACAGCAATGCAGCTCTGACCCTGTGTGACCTACGGTCAGGTGTAGCTTGGTTTCTGGGAAATAATGTAAATATGAATGTATTATTTAAAGAGTAAAACTTACCCACTACAACATCATGACCATTGACCAGACCAGCAGAGAAGAGCTCCTGAGAAACTCCATCAGCAGTGTCTGTTGACAGACACACACACACACACACACACACACACACAAACACACACAAACACACAGAGCGTGATCTCACAGCCAGAGAACAAAGTTAAAAACATGTTCTGAAAAACCCACACACATAAACATTTACAAACAAACATCAGACACGCTTGAAGAGTCAGATCTACTGCTGAGCCCTGTGATTGCTAAGATTTGCTAATAAGAAAACCATTGTTCACTGATTGTTCATGTTAAGGGCCATTTATATATATATATATATATGTATATATACACAGTTGAAGTCACAATTATTAGCCCCCTGTTTATTTTTTCCCCATTTTCTGTTCAACAGAAAGAAGATTTTTAACACATTTCTAAACAAAATAGTTTTAATAACTCATTTCTAATAAATGATTTCCTTTATCTTTGCCATGATGACAGAACAGACTATTTTACTCAAATTTTACTCAAAGATACTAGTATTCAGCTTAAAGTGACATTTAAAGTCTTAACTAGGTTAATTTGGCAAGTTAGGGTAATTAAAAAGTCATTGTATAATGATGTTTTGTTCTTGACAATTAAAAAATAATAATATTAAAGGGGCTAATAATATTGACCATAACATGGGGTTTTAAAAAATTAAAAGCTGGTTTCATTCTAGCTGAAATAAAACAAAAAGGACTTTCTCTTCAAGAAAAAATATTATAGGAAATACAGTGAAAAATGCCTTGCTCTGTTAAACATCATTTGGGAAATATTTGAGTGCATGTGACAAACAACCGTATAAGTAAGAATATAGATAAAAAATTTGATAACCATGTGACATTAATTGTATGTGCAATCTTTTTTATAAAGAAACAATTTGAGGATATTTTCGCGCGACCATGAGTCAGCATTTTAAACAATATCAATCCCAATTCAATGAAGGAGAAGGGCTTTCTAAGAAATGGGACAGCACTACAACCCCTGCACTCATCATACTTTGTCATTTTGAACTCTTGCTTCAAATAAGAGATCAGATGATAGCGACTGCTGTAGTTATTCCAGTTGTCGTGTTCTTTTTTGGTATTTATCTTCAGGAAATCACTGAAGGCATATTTCATGTTAACATAACGATATAATATGGCAGTAAACTTATAACTGTACTGTGCATTTACACCATGGCCATATTCATCTATGTAAACACACCAAAAACAACATTAACATTATAGCAGACACTGTAAAAAGCCCATTCTCAGCCACTAGACTTTTCTGACAGGGTGTTCCAGAGTCATCGACTGACAGAATGTTGTGGGACTGATGTACAGGAGTTATTATTAGGGATTATAGACAAATTTAGTAGTTTTTATTTTATATACTCTCACATGGTCGCCCACTAAGGCTAAGCAGGGCTGCACATCATCAGTTCAGTACATCATATAGGATGCTGCCAGAAGTGTTACTAGTAAGGCCAGCAGAGGGCGCTCAACCTGCAGTCTGTGTGGATTCTAATGCCCCAGTAAAGTGACAGGGACTCTCAAATTTTCAATATTATAATATATATTAATATATATTATATTAATTAATATAATATATATTAATTATAATAATATTCCATCTGACAGGCCAGAAATTATAAATTTTAAATGGTCTAGCAACAAAGTCTAAAGCTCATGACACAAAAGCATTATCGGCCCTATTATACACCCGTCGCAATGCGGCGCAAGGCACGGCGCAATAGTTGTTTGCTTGCTAGTTTCAGCTCGGCGCAAGAGTCGTTTAGGCGTTTTGCACCATGCTGTTTAAATAGCAAATGCATTTGCACTCATATGTGTGCCCATAGGCATTCTGGTCTAAAAAAGGAGGCGTTGAGGTGCAATACTGGCACTTTGCTATTTTGAGGAACTATAATAGACTGCTCAATAGATCAGAACAAAGAAGGTCTATAGTCCAGCGCAGAGCGTTAGTTGTGTGCGCGTTAGTGTGTCCGAATCCACTTTATTCTCTTACTCAGTTATGGGTGTGATTTAAGTATAACTGGCATTAAACCAATTAGACTCTCATCTCTCATTCCCTTTAAAGGTTCAGGACACCCTGGAGAACTTTTTTTTTTTTTTATATTAACAGATGTGTGTGTGTTGAGCAACAGTTAAGACAATGTTAGCACCTGTTAGCTTTAATTGTGGGGAAAACTGGATAATTTTGAGCTTTTGTCAGCTAATTTCAGCTTCCGGGTTTAAAAAGATTTTTGGGGCGGAATCAAAATCGGCGACGTAGCGCAGAACTGCAAGTGCAATGATGACGCGTTGGTTTCTCATTATTATTCATATCTGAGTTTTCTTATCCTATGAGAGGAGCCGGCTGCTTAATTATTCATGAGAGCACGTGCATTCCGAAGGCAGACCTGCCAGTTTCAAGCAAGCTGTGAGACACGGACCCATGGCACGCAGTAGCCGTTCATGAAGGCTCGTATGTGTTTGTTTCCATGATCCACGGGGTTTATTGCATGTTTTTTCCCTGTGATCTTGTCAGGGCCGATCATCCAGCAAAGCTGTGTGTGTACTGCATGCATTTTTGTCGGGAGAGCAGTACGAGAATTGAAGAATGGTGGACGTTGTCTTTTATCAGAAGTTCGTTCACAATCAGACACATCACCGTGCTGCTGTGTTTGCCTAAATCCTCTATATTACCAGCAGGGCTAATGGTTAAAATAGGCAGGTCAGGAGACCTGCTGCACTGAGTCTGAGTGTTTACATGAACACTTATCTTTATAATGATATAAATTGTGGTTATGTGTATTTGAAATTACGAACAACACATGAAGCAGGGCATTAAATTACTGTTTATTTCTTTGCATTTTAACTTTGTGAACTATAAACTATTGCTTCTCCTCACGGTTTGTGTCTCATTTTGTGAGCTAACTGTCAACAACAGTTGTTCG